ATATATATATATATATAGTATAAAGGAGTCAATGTCTATATTAGTCCCATTTCTTCGCGGAATATGGTATGAAGCTGTCACCGAAACGTTTTGTTTTAAACCTTATTAGTGGAACTCGTCGAGATTACAGCACACAGCACTCACGCGCACTTTCAGTTGCTTCATTCCTATCCAAAATAATGGTTGTTGTAATTTGTATTTTCTAAAAGAAATAGAAAACTTGCTTGCTGTGCTGTGTGCAGTTATAAAGCACTTGGGGATTGGCAGAACACTCGAGGAGTGTCCAGAAGCACTCCACTACGCGTCGTGCTTCTCCTAACACTTCTCTCGTGTTCTGCCAATTTCTTTACTTTTGATTCGAAGTCGTCTATAATTGGGATACCTATAGTGTGCCATTGCAAATCGCGTGCTCGTTCTGATTGGCTCAGCTACTAGTGGACTAGTTTCCTCCTTAGCAGGAAAGACGGTTTTTGAAGTACCATTAACAAACTTCATATACAGCTATTTCGAAAAAGACTGAATATACTGAATACTGCATACTGAATAGTGCATTCCAACGCAGCGCAAGAAAAACAAAATCTTCCGTTCTTTTGCGCTTGCGCGAAAAACGTTTGCGCATGCGTGTCTTTCGGTAAGTATTTTGAAGAGTTTGAGTGAGAAAATAAATGTTTGTTTTCTCCAAGTATACAAAAAAGTTCGAGAGTATACTTTTGTCAGACCAAGATACTGTATTAACAAACACAATATGAAAGAATTAGCCTTAAGTTTCGAGCATGGACACTAAGTTTTGCTATTTTGTGAAGTCCATTTATCAGGCATGATGAAAGTCAAATTTACATATGCTTACAATAGCATGAAGACGTATTGACTAATTTGCATACGGTTTTAGAGCATACGCAGACGTTTTTCACTCATGTCGCGTTGGCTTGCATCGGCTTGACAAGAGAACCTATTCCAGAACTCGACCCACTTTTCTCACTAACTGATTAATTTACACCTCAAGAATAAAAGGAAATACCGCGCGCGCACGAAGTACAAATACTGATCGTTACAATTCTTACCGCTACTCGGTTCGTTCCCATTTCAGGCCACGTGTCATTTCCTAGAGTATCATTTCTTTGTTTTATGGTTGCACATATGAAGACACATGAATATGGATACAACTCAAACAAAGAATCTTATTCTCAAGACCATGTGTCATTCCGTAGAGTATCATTTCTTTGTTTAATGGTTGCAGATATGAAGACACATGAATATGGATACAACTCAAACATAGAATTTTAGAAGTCTATTTACGCGCATGCGTGAATGCACCGGACAAAGGGAAATGTATCGGACTTAACGGATACCCCATAAAGCAAGGCATATTTGGCGGGGATCCTTTTTAATGCTTGGTAACCTGCTCCGAAGGGAATTTATTTCTTCTTTCAGATTCTCCCCAAAGCTTTTTATTTTTCTTTATGCTGTGTAAAATCATTAAAGGAACGGGACTCCAGCATCGCTTGATGTCATTCGTTTTCACCTGTTTCTGAAAGATGGCGGACGTCACGTTCCAAAAATCAAAATTTCAAACACATAACGGTTTCAGAGTAGTACTTCTATCGCCCTGTGTACTTAGATTTTGGATTACTGCTCCTTTTAAGGTTTTCTCCCTAATCCAAAATCTAAGTAACTGGGCGAAAGAGGTACTGCTTTTCGAAGGTCAGCTAAGTTTTTTTTTACTTTATTTCACATTTTGATGATTTCATTAAGGTTTTTAAGCATCGCAATACATTTTCTTATACTATGACACCACACAAACCTAGCTTGGGCTACCTGTGGTCATATCCCAGTCTCCATGATTCCTCGTCCATTCTGAAGGCTAGGTTACCAATTTTCAAAATGGCGGACGAAAGGACATGAAATTCGCAGTTACGATTATAAACGTAAAATTCCTGCTAAAAAAATGTCTGGTTTTGGGCCTCCGAGGTTTCCACATAGACCAAGAGGTCCTTTTCCATTTGATCCTAGATTTCCTCCGCTAAATCCTCCTCCAAGGTCGTTATCACCGGGTTTCAGACCAAGATATCAGGAGAACGAGTATTTCAGGCATCGTGGTAGGTCTGGACCAAGAGAAAGATTTCCAACACCTCATAGACACGATAGACCGTCCTTTGGGAATAGAGGCAGGGGACAGGTGAGAGAGACTTCCGGAGTAATTAGTCGACAAAACCGTTGATGGATTTTCCATAAGAATCGATGCTAACACCATTTTACAGCTCCATTCAGTGACCATGAATAATAGTTCCTAGCCGAGGCTGGAGTTACCGCGCATAGCAAAACTACAGTTTATCATGCGCGGTAACTCCAGCCTCGGCTAGGAACTATTATTCATGGTCACTGAATGGAACTGTAAAATGGAATATTAATCGATAAATTATATCCATTTTGAAATCACTTGTGAATTCTGCAATCTGATTGGCTCGCAGTAATGCTATTTTATCATTAATCCCACCATTTTGAGTCTTGAATTGCAATGTTTTGAAGAGCCAATGAAATTTCAGAAAACATAGCATTTGACTAATGAGATCACAAAAAAAAAAATGAAGGAAAAAAAGATGAAAGACAGTTTTTGACTAAATTTTACATTCAAATTAAATTATAGATTTAGTATTAATTCTTCGATTGCACGTTACGTCAACGCGGCCATGTTGGTGCCATTTAACGAATGATTTCTCATTAGCATCCATTGTTAACGGCACCACAATGGCCGCAATGCTTTTGTCTTTTAACTCTCTTGGAAATGCTTGCAAGCCATCAATACATGGGATTTCAAAATGAATATATTACAGTGCAACTACTATCACCGGGGGCACTTAAGTGACAGCGAAAACCAATTAAATTGTAGAATGAAAACAATAAAATCGAACTTGGGCAATGGAACCAATCAGAAAGCAGCAGAAAGCAAAAGCTACCAAAGATATATCTTTATTCCTACAAGAAAATGACGATAACTATTGTTTACACCTAACAAGGTTTCTGATTGGCTCGATTACCCATAGTTGAAATGCATTCTTTCAATTCTAGTTTTTTTTTAAAACTTACTAAATACTACTCTTCCCAGTAGACAGAGGTAGTTGTGAATTTTTAATCACCTTCGTAGCGTCTGTTTTGTTATTCGCAAGTACATTTCAAATCGACCACGTGATGCCAATGTTGTACCACGAGGACAAGTTTTTTACACCACGTGATTAAAACTTGACTGAATTTTGATCACGTGGTGTAAAAAACTTGTCCTCGTGGTACAACATTGGCATCACGTGGTCGATTTGAAATGTACTTGTGAATAACATAACAGACGCTACAAAGGTGATTAAAAAATCACAACTACCTCAGTCTACTGGGAAGAGTAGTAACGACTTTTCTTAGATGACAAAAAAAGTTTGAAATTCAAACTTTACCCCAGTCTCTTACTTTTTCATTTCTTTACTGTATTCAAAAGGGTTACTATGGCAGCAAAAGCTTTAAGAGATCATCTGATCAAGGCCGTGCTATTGAAGCTTATTACAAACACTCAATGGTAGAAGACCCTTGGAAAGAACTTGAAGAAAATCTTAGAAAACAAAATCAGAAACAAGAAAAACATGATGGTTCGTAGTACAAATTCAACCACAGGCAGCCTTATCAATGAGGAGTATTCGAAGGAAGTGGCAGGAATTTTTGTCATCTGGAAAGGAAGCTTTAACAGAGAGACTGTTGTTTAGATTTTGTTGTCTGGTTGTTCCTTGCTAGCAGAATCTCCTAGGAAATCATGGCAGAGAGAATTACCCTATTTCACTATGACGTCACATCAAAACAATCTATTGTTTAAACGCAAAGGATCATGGTCGTCAGAGGGGGTCAAATCAACGCAAATTCACCGAAAATTGTTCTAAARCCCGTATCAATCCACGAAGAGAAGTAGAATAGCCAGCAAACGCTCAGAATATTTTTTAGTACATATTAACACATATTTTATTTGTAAACCAGGCTATTTTAAATTAAACTGTTTCGCGAGGAGTAAATTTTGTTGAATTTTCTATTGGATTTGGCGATTCTATCCCCCACACAAACAAGCAGTGACGTCATAGTGAAATAGGACAATTATTGGGAGAATGTTTCTCTGCCAAGAATCGACAATGAGGGAGACTCTGCAAGCAAGAAGTCTGATTGCAGCATAGACTGCTAGCGAGTGGTCACACTTTTCCCTCCAGACTTAGTAAAGACTAGTGTTTTGGGATTCCTGTGGACGTGTGAAGAGATTGGCGTGCTTATACTCAGCTCCAATCAACGCACGTCCACAGGAATCCCAAAACGCTTGCCCTTACTGAAGTCTAGTTGCAGCATGACTTGACTGGTAACTCTGGTTCAGGTCTTAACTTGAGATTATTCTAGAATAATTCCTTTTTCTAATTCATTCTCACATGCATTCTGATTGGTCTGCGATCTTGTACCAGAGCTCTAAGCATTGACTGACCAATCAATATGTTTGTATGAATGGAATGTAATAGCAGCCAATCAGAGCCTATTATATAATCTCTCACCACAGGAGTCCAGAACAAGTAATTTTGCACTGATTTACAAACTGTCTTACTGATGTTTCCAATATTCTGTGAACACAGTAATTACACACTGAAATGTCGTTTTTTGCTGCCGTCAATCAAAAATAATCAGTCGGTACCTTTTATATTATTGGCTCTCCGCAGTGAAAACCAATTTCACAAGAAGCTGTGGAAATGTCTGAGTTCACAGAATATCGAAAGCAGAAGTAGCTAGATTAAAAAACCGGGCTGCATGAGACAAAATATTTGTTGCCTTTGTTGGCTTTTGGATATATTAAAAAGCTTACTTTGAAAAAAAAATAAGACAGTTCTAGTTCAAGTAGAAAGCTACAAAAGCAATTGCAATGAAGCAAAAAATGAAATGCATTGATAAAACGGAATGATTGGATTCGATTGTTTTCGGCAATCGAAAGAAATCGAATTATTACACAAAAATTCGAGACAATCACAACGCAATCGAACATTCGATTACGTTCGATTGAAATCGAATGCAGTCGAATTCGCAATTTTTTATCCGATTTCGTTCGATTAACAAATGCAATCGAATCCAATCATGTGATTGCGTTCGATTGAATTCGATTTGCGAATCACTGTGATTGATCACTCCAGGACTATTGCGGTCCAATTCACCTTTTGAGCGCTAGCTATCTCGTGGTACAGCATACAGGTTGTATGCTGGTCGTGCCAAAACGAAGGCTGAAAGAGCAGCAGAAGTGAAAGCTGAATTTGAGAAGAAGAGACATGAGCGTATGAGCCGTTTCCAGGAAGTCAATCTCTACATCAAAAATCTTGATGACCCGATAGATGATGTGCAGCTAAGAGGGGGTCGCTGCCTGAAAGTGATTAAGAGGTTAAACGGTTTTAATGCAAGAAATAGGTCAATCGAAACCTCCAAAGTAGTTTACACCCCTTCCCCCCCCCCCCCCCCCCCACACACATACCGTACTTTCAAGGGGAGGGATGGAAGGGTGGTCTAGAAGGTGAAATCTTTAAATGACAAAAAATTTCTTAAGACCCCCCTTGAA